CCTGTAGTCCCATCTACTTGGGAGGCTGAGGCAAGAGAATCGCTTAAGCTCAAGAGTTGGAGGTTGCTGTGAGCTATGATGCCATGGCATTCTACTGAAGGCACATAATGAGACTCTGTCTCAAAAAAAAAATGTCTTCCACATGGTTCTTTTTCAGAAACGTTTAGGATATTCTTAATTTTTTTATATTTGTATAAACCTTAGAATCAGTTTGTCAAGTTCCATGAAAGGAAGAAACGAGAGAATGGAAGAGGAGATTTAGGATTACATTGAAATTATAGAACACTGGGGAATTAACATCTTCCTAACAATGAGTCTTCCAATCCATAACTATGATGTATATTCCATTTATACCACAGTCATACCATCCTTGACCACTTTACTTAAATCTCCCTGAGCCTCAAGTTTCTCATTGATCTAATCGGGCAAAGAATCTCTACTCAAGGATTAGTGAGAGGATACTTGGGATACCCCACTGTCCTAAATGAAGCAGCTCCCCTCGTGTGGAGCACATGGCAGGCACTCAGTAAAAATGGTGCTCCCAGAGGTCTCTAGAGGACAGCACTATTTCCTTATGTTTGATCTTTTCCTCTCCAACCTGACCTACTACCCCAATGGATAGATAAGGAATCATTATGACTGCCTTTTTTGAATGATCAAGGTGTGAAGATCTATCATTCCTTAAAGGTGTTTCAGAGGAGAAGTCAGTATACTGGGAGTGACGTATACAAGGACATATAGTCAGTAATGATGGTTTGTTTCCAGACAGAAGTTTCAACCACTGTGCCTTGTGTTTCTATGTCTCATATACCTTTGCTTTCTCAAATGTTCATCTAGAACAGTAGTTCTCAACCTGTGAGTCATGACCCACAGGAACTGTATTAAAGGTTCACGATATTAGGAAGGTTGAGAACCACTGATCTAGGGGGTAAAATAATGGGGCAGAAGAACTACTGATGGTGCAGTAGTTTTTTTTCTCCTACCCCATAGTCTATTGATCTAATGTTACTGAAGCTCACATATAAGAAGAACTATACTATATATACTATTACATTTTCAAATAATGCCTCTGATAGCTATGCAAATTTTTATTGCAAAAATTATGCCTTTTATAGGAAGTTGAGATGAGGTTGAAGGAGCTATTTGTTGAAGAACTTACTATATGTTGAGCACTTTATATAGCTGTTTTTATTTTGAATTCACAATAATCCTATGGTGCAAGTAGTATTACTCCCATTTTCTGAAAGAGAAAATTAAGGCTTATGGAGTTTTGGGAACTTTCCCAATTCCCACAGCTAGTAAGTGGCAAAGCTAATATTTTATCTCTTGATATCTACTGTACATAATGAAACTGGTTGTTATAGTGTAGGTTATATGGTAACCATGTGATCTCATACACATAAAGGAGCTCAATAACACCTATTGATGAGAATAATAAAAATGAAACATCTCTCCTTGGGTTTAGAGGCCTAGGTTGTGGCATTCACATGAACTGAGTTAGAGCAAAAAGTCAGTGTATTCAATAAGCCAGTGATTTGGCACTAGACTGAAATGCCAATCTACCTTATTCATGTATTAAAAGCTCATTGAGGCTGGGCACCCGTAGCACAGTGGTTACGGTGTTGGCCACATACTCTGAGGCTGACGGGTTTGAACCCAGCCCGGGTCAGCTAAACAATGGCAAATGCAATAAAAAAAAATAGCCAGGCGTGGCGGGCGCCTGTAGTCCCAGCTACTTGGGACGCTAAGGCAAGAGAATCTCTTAAGCCCAACAGTCTGAGACTGCTATGAGCTGTGATGCCACAGCACTGTACTGAGGCAGCATAGTGAGACTCTCTCTCAATAAGTAAGTAAATAAATAAATAAATAAAAGCTCATTGAAACCTAGGTGTGTAGAAGAACATTCTCGGCTTTTCTTCTCCAGATTTCTATTTTGAGACCAGTACCATATTATTTTGATTTATTATCAGAAGCTCTCATGTGTTAAAGAACTATAGTCCTTTATCATTACTTTTATTAATTTCTTGCCTGTCCTTGTCCATTTAATTTTGTCAAAGGACCTTTGATGGAAAATCCTCTGAAATTCCAAATTAAGGGTAGGGGGTGGAGGGATAGAATTCACACCTTTGTAAAACTGAATCATCCCATCCAGGGATCTGGCCTCCTTAATTGTTTAGATATCCAGTAAGTACAGTTCTTGTCACATCTCAAAATTCAAAACTTACTTTAGATCTTCAATAACTACTAAAAATTGATTTGAAAGTAATCGGGCTAGGGATCAAGGCCCTTTTTAACCTGGGTTATGGAGTGGTTTCTGTATTAGAGGTAATTTGTTTGTGACATACATACTTCAAGGACTATAATGAATATGAAACAGAAAAAAGTGGTAGGATGCTATGATGTTCAGGCAGTCCCCAGGCTACAAATGAGATAGGTTCTGTAGGTTTGTTCTTAAGTTGAATTTGTATGTAAGTTGGAATAGGTGTATTTACCTATCACCTGTACTAGCCTCCATTCATAAGTGCAAATTGTACATAAGTCGGATGTTTGTAACTTGAGGACTGCCTGTATAATGCTTTGGAAAGATGAATTTATTAGAGGAGAGCAAGACTTGTAGCAAAATCAAAAAGGAGACTGCCACTATAGACCAGCAGAGAGGAGTTTATTGCCTAAAAGAGGGTAGCAAGAGTGGAAGTGGAAGAAAATTGGGAGGATTCAGATATATTTAGAAAAGAAGATCCAGACAACTTGGTGACAGGGAGGAAGAGGGAATTAGGAATGATTCCCAGATTTCCTGCTTGGGCAACTGTGTGGATTCTGAGGCCATCTATTAAGACAAGGAAAACAATGGCTTGGCACCAGCCACATACACCCAAGGTGGCAAGTTCGAATCCAGCCCGGGCCTACCAAACAACAATGACGGCTGCAACCAAAAAATAGCCGAGTGTTGTGGTGGGCGCCTGTGGTCCCAGCTACTCAGGAGGCTGAGGCAGGAGACTCGCTTGAGCCCAGGAGTTGGAGGTTGCTGTGAGCTGTGATGCTATGGCACTCTACCCAGGGGGACAGCTTGAGGCTCCTGTCTCAAAAAAAAAGACAAGGAAAACAAAAAAGAAGGTTGACTTTTGTATGTAGAAAGGAGAGGAAAGATGGCAAAATCACTTGGGGACATAGTACATTTGAGGTCCCTCAGGGATATCCAAATGAATATGTCTAATATTTGTTTTAAAAGGATTTAAATCAAGTTGATATTGAAGCTCATATTGGAAAATAAACAAGCAAGAATATAGAGTAAAAAGCTGAAAAAGAAAACTTCCTTGGTGGCACCTGTGGCTCAAAGGAGTAGGGCACTGGCCCCATATGCCAGGGGTGGCGGATTCGAGCCCAGCCCCGGCCAAAAACTGCAAAAAAAAAGAGGAAAAACTCCTGAGGAGGACTAGATCTACCAGATATATGAACTTATATGAATCCTCTATAATTCACACTGGTGTATGAATAATAAATAGACCAATGAAATAGAAAGCCCAGAAAGTTTTCTAAGTACAACTTATGGAAAACTTAAACTTAGTATGGAAATTTAGTGAGTAGTAAAGGTGGAATCTCAAATCACTGGAGCAAAGATGGACTTTTTAAGATGTGATGCTGGAGGCTTGGCGCCTGTGGCTCAAGCAGCTAAGGCGTCAGCCACATACACCTAAGGTGGTGGGTTCGAATCCAGCCCAGACCCGCCAAACAACAATAATGGCTGCAACCAAAAAATAGCTGGGTGTTGTGGCGGGCGCCTGTGGTCCCAGCTACTTGGGAGGCTGAGGCAGGAGACTCGCTTGAGCCCAGGAGTTGGAAGTTGCTGTGAGCAGTGAAGCCATAGCACTCTACCCAGGGGCTCAGCTTGAGGCTCTGTCTCAAAAAAAATAAAATAAAAAGATGTGATGCTGGAAAAACTGAGAAACCAGTTGAAAAAAGAAAAAAATCCATACTTCACACCATATACAAGTATAAGCTGTAAATATATAAAAAAAAAAGTGAATGCTGCTAGAAAACGTGTGAATTCTTTTTTGACATCATGTATGATGAGATTTCTTAACTATGAATCAAAATCTAGAGGCAATAAAAGTGATACATCTACATTTTAAATGCATAGCAGAAAAATGCTATAAACAAAGACAGAAAGCAACTGACAAATTACAAATAATATTTGTAACATACAACAGATAAAGGCCTAATAGAGTTAACATATAAAGAAAACTTGAAAATTGAGGGGAGGACCAACAACCCACTAGAAAAACGTGAAAAAGACATGAACTAATAATTCACAAAGGTATTTAAATTGTCCTTAAACATGGAGAAAGGCAAAATAAAACATCAAGATACTTCTCAACTATAATATTACTGAAACTTTTGAAGTATGTCCTAGTGTTATGTTGGAAAGGGTATTGGGAAATAAAACGCTCCTACATTACTTAAAAAAAAAAAAAAGAGTCTGAGACTCAGGTGAGGGAATACCATGGAGATATAGATTTGGGAGTCATTGGTGTTTAGAGGGAAGTGAGATCACCCAGAGAAAAACTGTGGAATGAGGAAAGAGGTCCAGGATAGAACTCCAGAAGCACCAGTACTCAAGGTGGCAGCTCAGTTCCTTGGCAGTCACTGGCACCCGGGCTTGAGTCTGGCAGAGCTGGCTTCAAAGCGGACTTTGGGGTTCAGAAGCTGAGCTTTCTTGGCAAAGTCGGGTACCCTTCCTGATCAGCCATCACACCTGGCAATCTAAAAGAGATGCTGTAGGAGGATGCTGTGAAATGTACCTGGGGGTTAAAAAGCACCTGATTCTCCTTGACGACCATCCTTTGCTACACACCCCCCACCTCTCAGCTTCTCAGCCCCTTGGGAATGGGGGGGTGGGGTGGCGAGCTCGGGTGACGCGACGTTCACGTGACCTGCCGGGCGCCGACGTGGGCACCAGCCCCCGCGCTTGCCTGCCCGCCCTGCGGTCCGGTCCCAGCACCGGCACCGAACCAGCTCCCGGGGCTGCACCAGTGGTGGGCGAGCGGCAAGCGGGCTTCCGCGAGCCCGAGGCGACGCAGGCCTGTCCCGGGTCCCCGCAGGTCAGTGTGAAGGCGGGCGCTGCCAGCGAACCCGGGGCAGGGGTGGAGTGGCCAGCTGGGAGTAGGATCCCGGAGCAGCGGGGAAGGGGCTAGGGAAAGAATCTGGGAGATTGGTGACCAGGGGGCACAGAGTGGGCAGGGGAAGGAGGACCCCGCCACGGGTCAGCTAGCTTCTTCAACACCCCTCCTCTGTGCTCCCCATCCATTTTAGATCAGGAAATTGTGGGGGGGCGCCCCCGCAGTGCGACAGCGAAACGCAGGCATATTCTGGAAATAACCCCCTCTCACACTCTCCACCTGTGAAGGCAAATTGACCTCTGCGAAAAGCGGGTGGGATGAAGTAGGTTGCCTCCAGGGGAGGAGGCAGGAGACCCAAACGCAGTTTGAAAAGCATCCTAGTCTGGCGCCCAAGGCCTGGAAAGAAATGGCGGCTGGGGTGCAGGGAAAGTAGGGGAGGAAAACGTTGGGCAAGGAGCGCCCAGTTGCAGGAAAGGGACCCGAGTCCCTCTGAGCCCACTGAGCACGCAGCCCCTGCCCAGTCTCCTGTCTGTCTACAGGTCTCCGTATTTGTTCCCGTACTCTGCGAGGCCTGAGGAGGAGGAGCAACCTGTTCAGAATCTCTGCAGGTGGGTGAAGGGGTGGATGCAGGGACAGCGACCCAGAAGGGTTGAGAGTATGAAAGGCATGGCCTGGGCAGAATTTGGCGCTCCACTGCCCAGGCTGAAGGAGTGTAGAGAAAGTGACTGTGCCTGACAAGCAATGGTGGGCCCACATGTGTGGGAGGAATGGTGGGGTAAGGGGTGGGTAGAAGGCACACTTGGAAGTCTGGCCAGGGTAGGGGATCCCTCACCAGGGGCAAGATGCAAGTGCTATTCGAACCTGCAGTCTACCCATGCCCTTAGCTTCCCATGTCTCCTCTATTCTCTGCTCCTACTCCCCAGGACAGTAAAAAGAGGGAAAAACTCAACATGGAGAAACCCTACAGTAAACATGAAGGGAAACTGGAAAACGAGGGAAAGCCAGAAGAGGATGTAGAGCCTGAAGATGAAGCAAAATCAGACGAGGAAGAAAAGCCGGACGTGGAAGAGAAGCCAGAATGTGAGGGAAAGCTAGAGGATGAGGGAGAGCCAGATGAGGAGGGACAAGAAGATGAGGGAAAGCAGGGAAAGTCTGAAGGTGAGGGCAAACCACAAGGTGAGGGCAAGACAGAATCCCAGGCAAAGCCAGAGAGCCAGGCACGGGCCGCTGAAAAGCGTCCAGCTGAAGATTATGTGCCCCGGAAAGCAAAAAGAAAAACGGACAGGGGGAGGACTGACGACTCTCCCAAGGACTCTCGGGAGGACTTACAGGAAAGGCATTTGAGCAGTGAGGAGATGATGAGAGAATGTGGAGATGTTTCAAGGGCCCAGGAGGAGCTAAGGAAAAAGCAGAAAATGGGTGGTTTTCATTGGATGCAGAGAGATGTACAGGATTCATGCGCCCCAAGGGGCCAGCGGGGTGTCAGGGGAGTGAGGGGTGGAGGTAGGGGCCAAAGGGGATTACATGATATTCCATATCTTTAATGCCTTTCGCCTTCAATTCTGAGTTCTCTGATGAGAATACTGCCGGCCCTGCTTTCCTTGGTAGATATTTGCCAGGTCCTGTGCTTTATCTTTAAGCTGATAATTTGCTTTAGCTGTCACTCTCCTTACCAGCAGCCTTTTGATCAAATTACAGCGCTCTTTTAGTATCGAATTTTCATTCATGTGCATGGAAGAAGTGTACATTGTAAAGTAACAATAAAATTTGCAGAACCAAATATACAGTATCAGCTGACTTTTGTAAAAATGTAAATATGTATTTGGGCACAGAGAAAACTCTAAAAGTTTGTACATTGGAAATTAGGCAATGGTTGTTCCTGCATGGGGGCCAAGGATAGGTCTCAAATGTAATCAAAAATGAGTCCAATCACCTGATGGGTAGGTAACTCATGCCAATCCTCTGCTGCTGTGCCCCTCCCATGTCCTCCCCAGCTCAGTGAGCATTGCTGTCCCTCTGGGTCCCCTACTCATGCTATGTAGAGGCATACTATGGCTCCCGCATGTGTGATTCTTTTCCTTTTCTTTGCTCAGTCATCTCTACTTTTTCCTAAAGGATATGGTTACATTTGTCATAATAAAAAATAAAACAGAAAACAATAAATAATCAATTGAACTGTTCAGTGAGCTTATGAAGGCAATGAAGACACTTAAAATTCCTATTATCTGAACATAACAAGTAAAATTCACATTACTTCTGGGATTAATAACTAGAAGAGTCAACCTGGCAATTATTACATATCCATTGCTGTACGAGTCAGTCTTGTGATCTGTAACATGGGATAATACTTGCCTTACAGGACTATTTAGTGGATCAGATGAGGTGCTGAATAAGTGAGCTTCACTGAGCTGGCTCCCTTGAAGTAGCAGAACCCTGTACCCTGTCAGACACTAAAAGGAGAGCTGAAGGTATCTTCCATTTGTGCCGAAAACAACTTCAAGCAGCTAAGAAGAAGGCCCCACCCTTCTTTGGATGCTACCATATCTGGTGGTCATTCCTGCTGTGCCCAGTACCTGTACTATCTACTAACAGCCGCTGATATAATGGAGTCCTCATGGTGACAAATCTCTCCTCATTTAGTACAGTTCTAGAGGGCCAACCCCCCTATTTGAGCCCTATATGAGTGTAGATAAAGTCCTTCTCCCAACTGCAGGTGGTACTACCCCAAGGTACTACCCCAAGGCTGCCTGGGTCCCACACAGTTGTAAGCAAAGTAGTCATTAACATTTTTAGGTTGGGCAGCACCTGTGGCTTAGTGAGTAGGGTGCTGGCCCCATATACCAAGGGTGGTGGGTTTGAACCCGGCCCTGGCCAAACTGCAACAAAAAATAGCCAGGCATTGTGGTGGGCGCCTATAGTCCCAGCTACTCGGGAGGCTGAGGCAAGAGAATCACCTAAGCCCAAGAGCTGGAGGTTGCTGTGAGCTGTGATGCCATAGCACTCTATACCTAGGGTGAAAATGGGAGACTCTGTCTCTAAAGACAAAAAAATTAAAATTAAAAAATAATAAAAAAGATGACTTGTATTCATAAAAAAAAAATTTTATGTCATTTTACATTTACTTATAGTTTCCTTTCTCTACTTAGAACTCAAGACAATTTTATTTATTTATTTATTTATTTTTGTGACAGAGTCAAACTCTGTTGGCCTGCCTAAAGTGCAATGGCATAGCTCACAGCAATCTCAAACTTTTGAGCAAGTGATCCTCTTGCCTCAGCTTCCTTAGTAGCTTGGACAATAGGCACCCACCACAACACCTGGCTAGTTTCTCTATTTTTAGTAGAGATGGGGTCTCACTCTTGCCGAGACTGGTCTTGAACTCCTGAACTCAGGTGATCCATTTGCCTTGGCCTCAAGACTTAAGACATTTTAGATCTGGCTTGGCACCAGTAGATCAGTGGTTAGGGCACTGGACACATACACCAAGGCTGGCAAGTTTGAACCCAGCCTAGGCCTGCTAAAACAACAATGACAACTGCAACAAAAAAATAGAGCCAGGCATTGTGACAGATGCCTGTAGTACCATCTACTTGGGACGCTGAGGGAAGAGAATCTCTTAGTCCAAGAGTTTGAAGTTACTGTGAGCTGTGACACCACAGCCCTCTACCAAGAGGGGGGGGCGATATAATGAGACTCTGTCTAAAAAAAAAAAAAAGAAAAAAGCTGAGTGTTGTGGCAGGCACCTGTAGGCTCAGCTACTTGGGAGGATGAGGCAAAAGAACTGCTTACGCCCAAAAGTTTGAGGTTGCTATGAGCTATGAGATCACGGAACTCTACCGAGGATGGCAAAGAGAGACTCGGATTTTAAAAAAAGACATTTTAGATCCGCTGAGGAATGTGTCCTGAGACTAATCTAATGACCAGAAAATGAATTGTGTCACCCCATCCCAGTATCCCAGGGAAATTATATCTAAATTTTCATACATTTCTAAGTATGAATTTTCTCTGAAAAGCCTCCTGGCTGTCCTATTATACAAAATCAAGGTACTTGTCCATACATAATATCAGAGAATTACACATCTTGAGTTTCAGGCTAAGAAATATCTCTTCTGGCTCGGCGCCTATAGCTCAACCGGCTAAGGCGCCAGCCACGTACACCTAAGGTGGCGGGTTCGAA